AAAAAAAAAAAAAAAAAAAAAAAAAAAAAAAAAAAAAAAAAAGTAACATCTGATGTCTCCTAATGCATACATTCTGAGGTCAACAGATTAGAATCTGTATGCTGCTTTATCAACTATTACGCAATCTGGGTCAAGACTTGTGAATTCCTGAGTTGGTCATGGTGATGCACACCTGTAATCCCAACTCTCTGGGAGGCTGAAACAGAAGGCTCACAATTTGATCCCAGCCTGGGCAACTTAGCAATTTAGTGATCCCTGCCTCAAAAACATTAAAAAAATAAAGGGGGGATGTGGGAATATAGGGAAATATAGCTCAGGTTTAATCCCCAATATGATAAAAAAAAATCTGAGTTATCTGAAACTTCAGTTGTTTTCAAAATGGGTGCATAGTACCTACATCATAGATTTGTTGTGAATATTAAATAAAATTACATTTTAGCACACTATTGGTTTACTATGTGTTCTCAAGTAAAGTCATGGATTATTGTCCAGCTGTTTCTTGTCTTGATTATGTTTTTGAATCAGTTTTTTTTAAAGAGCACACATTTCTTCCTGCTTTTTTTTTTCCCCTCACATCTATCTTCCATGGAGCTGCTGGAGTTCTATTTAAAACACACACATGTATTTATGTTCATGCCACACTTCTGCTTGCAGTCCCTCCATGGCTTCTCAGGGCTGCCTCTGCGAGGTAGAAAATCCTTTGTTTACCGTGCAAGTTCCTTCAGTTATTGGGTACCCTCTATATCTCTAACCTCAGCTCTGATGGTCTCCACATTTTTAATTTCTGCTACAGAAAGATCCATCTGCTTTGGGCCCTTCCAATGAGTCACATAGATTGTGCCTCCATACATCCCACCTGCCAAGTACACAAGGCATGAGCTACTATTCTGATCCACCAAGCCTATGCTCAAGGACACTTGTTTGATGATTCAGACTATCTTTTCTACTGTATCAGCTTTTCCTTGTGTATGAAAATTTGTTGTAAGTCTTCTTACCTATTGATTTGAATGTGATTTGCTTGTTTATTACTCCCAAGTAACTGAAATATGTCCAGTTCATCTTCTTATTCTGCAACAGGAGATACTGTTCCTGGCACACAGTAGCTGCACAATGGACGTTTATTAAGTAGATAGATATGTTAAAATGAGATCTAAGTTACGAAGATAGTGAACTCTTCCTTAGCTCACTGCAGTGCTCTCCTTATTGTGACTGATTGATGGGATGTCTTAGAGTTTTAAGTTTGGATGGGCACTGGAATTAATCTATTTTTCATCAGAAGCAAGATTTCCTACCACAAGCTGGCTCCACCTCAGCCTATTGCAGAAATGAGTAAAAAAATCTCAGAAAATTTATAATTTATTTATACTCTTATTTCTTATCAGCAAGATAAAAAATCCATGAGACTCCATTTTGTAGGTTACAGTAAGTATCTGCTTCTAGCTGAAAGATTTAACTGCCATTTTTTCATGTACCACTCATAAAACTTAAAATGGGTCACAAGACAGAATATAATGGCAACAACATCAAATTTGAGGAGACCCAAGTATTTCTACCTTTGCAGAGTAATTTCTTAGATTTAAACTTGACATAAAGTCTACTCAGTTTTTTCCCTTTTTTTTTTAATCAGTGTGGGTCAGAGGTACTTGGGAGGGGTAGATCAATGGACTGCTCCCCGTCTAGTACATCAATATAACTTCTAAGGGAAAATAGACAATTTAGTTAAGCTTTACATTTCTTGAACTTCTTTGAGATCAATACTTTATTATTTACTATATTTGCCAATATGTAAAACCTTCAGGACAGTTGCCATAATTAAATGGAAAACTTATTGTTGCAGACAGTTATAAGATTTAAAATTCAAAAGAATTTCTTTTATGCTGTTTTCACCCTGACTCTGCTGTTACTTTTTCTTTAAAGAATATGTAACACTAAATGCTTCTCATTTAGACAGTCGCTTTGAAATATAATACAAGTGGACCACTCACCTTTTACAAAACAGTTAAGCTACTTATCAGATCTCCTGGCTTCTCAAAGCACTGTTTTCTGTCAGGTGGAAAGGGCTATCCTCTTAGGAGATCAAGGGCCATTAGATATAATTAACTTTCCTCATTCCTATCCTCTTAGAAGATGGATTTTAAACTACTACACATCCCACCATGGTTTGTGATTACATTCTATTAAATATGATGAAGCATCTTCAGAGAAGAGAGCCATCATTATGAATTGAGTGGAAAAACAAATTCCCATGAGATCTGATAATTATCTCCTGGAGTAGAGATTATCTGCCTACAGTAAGAGGATTTATTTTGTTCATTACTATACTCATAATAATAGCTAGCAGTGTGAAATAAAAAGGAGAGAGCAAAGCAGAGAGTCTCAGGAGAACAGAGATACCACTTTAGTCTGGTAAAGGAAAAGAGCTACAAGAAGACAAAAACACATTGTAAATACAACTCTCAGTAATTTTTCATGGTTCATAGTGACATAATTAAGCAGAAAAGCTCATTGTTAGTATTGTTTAGGATCTCTGGCTTTAATTCCCACATGTGGTCTACAAGTCAGCAGGTGTTTAAACCAAAGTACTTCATTTCGTTTCCCGAAGAGAGAAAGTAGTGGTGAGAAAAACCATATGGGAAAGGAAAGCAAGAGAGACAGGATAGATAGAAGGAAGATGACTTAATCTGGAACTCATTGCGATGTGTGATTTAACCACCTCATGTGAAGTGTCAGTGACAGTTATGAGCAGAAGTCAGACGCAGAGTGCCTTAGTCAGCTTTCTGGCACCACGACAAAATACATGAGCTACAGGTTGGAGGTTTCGGTCCACAGGTTGTTGATCCTGACACTTTTGGGCTGTGATGAGGTGGAACCTAATGGCATGAGTTTTCAGTGGAAGAACCTGCCCTCTTCATGGTATCTAGGAAATGGAAGTGAAACAGGCACAGTCTGGAGTTCCAATTCTCCCATCAAGGGCACTCTGTGACCTAACCTCCTCCCACCAGCCCCACCTCTTACATTCCATCATCTTCCACCCGAGCCACAGGCCAGCAACCAACCCCGTAACACAAGGACCTGGAGAATGCTTCCCTGAACATGGCAGAGCGACTGGGAAAAGTCATTGTTTTGTTAAAAACAAATTTCCAACATCCCATGTTTATACATACGTTAAAGTACAAAATTACATTCCTAAGCCAAACCTTATAGCACTTCAAATGAAGAAGGCAAATGCAAAATGCAGATCTGTGAGCTAAGCACACATTTTTCCAGAAAGATAAGAATCTGAATAAGGTAGTCATTTACATTTGATGTGGCACTAAGGAAGCATTTCTCACCACCCTTTCACTTTGCAGATGAAGAATACAAGCCAGAGAGGGGAATCACAGTGAGACTTGGACTGGGCATTCCTTCTCCAATTCATTATGCCAAGGTATGTTTCTATTACATGCAAGTAAATAGTGTGAGGGTGTGTGTTTTTTTGTACTATTTAAAGGAACAGCATATCCATGAGCCTGTAGTATCACACTGAAATAATATAATAATGCTTATTTCACACCAGCTAAATATCCAGCTGTGTATGTTGCCTATGTTATAACATTTAGTCCTCAAACCCCTTCATGAAAACATCCCGTTTTTCAGAGAGAGGTTCCTGGAAGTGAGAGCTGTTAGGAGCCTCTTGTCATTTGATGAGCAGAAAGGAGGAGAGCCCTAGCCCCGGGGTCCGGAAGCTATAGACTCTTTACCTCATTACTCTGCCTCCAGCCTGGTCTCAGGAAACTCTATTTGTGAAGTTTCTGCTTGTGTTTTAGTGAGTGAACAAGTAGTTGGAAATAAATAACAGCACTGTGACTCCAACTCATGCCTTTTGTGATGACCTGCTGGCAGCATTAGACAAGATGGAAAACACTGCGTGCTATCTGAAGAGTGTTAGAGCAAGCTCAGTCTCAACTTCAAACATCCATCTTCTTTAGTGTCTCCTCTGTACATTACTCACACTTAGATCGTCTCCCAACTTCTCTCAAGAGGAGCTGTCCTGTCCCTTGAGGCTTTCTGGGCTGTAATCCTAAAAGGACAGTGTCACTGGGAACTGCCTTTTAAGCCTGTTCACACATGCCTGATGCTGAATTTCAGTTTCCAGTGTGTGAGGACTCTCAGCATAAGGGTCTGATAAAGCAGCTGATGAGATTTCACTTGTGAATAATGAAGAAACAAGTTGATCTTTGTTATTTTTCTGAGGGAGAAAATAGATGGTTTGGCCTGCCAGTCTGATGCTGCGAAGAATAGTTTATCAGGTGATCTCATGTTTGGAACACAGATAAGAGCTAAGAACTCTGAAACTTGGTCAGCACTAACTTTTTACTGGCAAATGACTACATTCTCTATCCACAGTGCCAGCCAAGGAACTTAATGAGATTCTACCATGAAAAGGGATACCAGACATGAGCTCATCCACTGTCTTTGTCCTATATATGTGCATACTGGAAAAAATGCCTCTCTAATCAGTTCCATCTATGTTATGAGTATTCAACATAAAAATTATCCAATCTTAACATCACCTAATTTTTCTAGAAGATGCATTCATAGACCTTTCTGTAGAAATTCACAGAATTTTAGGTCAAACTGATAAGTTGGTGTCTCTTTTTTCACTGTCAGGGGCAGTAAAATCTTTAAGATGAGAAGGGTTTGTTTGTTTGTTTATATTGAAGGATAAGGAAAAGAAGAATCTCAGGGACACTATTCAATGAGCACAACTTTGAAGTGGTAGTAGGGTGCTCCAGTGTTGCAGTTTCCTTGCTGGGGGGAATTTATCTTTTGTATTCTCTGCTTGAGAGAGATATTAATGAATCTAATGTGAGATACACAACACAAGTGACTTGCTGGAAAGGAATCCACAGGGTGTATAAGGAGGAGCCCACATGAATAGGACCCAAAGCTATTCTATCATAGTAACCTCTGTTATGTTCAAAACTTCCCAGCAGTTTCTCTGAGTAGTATTTTTTAGACATCAATTCTATGTTTAGCATTTGAATTAATTTCAAAATGTGTTGTTCAATCTTCATTTGACTATTATGAGATGTTACTTTTTATGCAAATGTCTTACTTTAATGTGAACAGTGCTGCACTTTACTAAGTATTTTGTCAAACAGTATCCTACAGTAGGCTCAGGGATGAAAAGGTGGAGGAAATTTATAGTCTTTAAGGTCTGGGTACTTCTATCTGCAAGGTTTCTAACCACAGTTTCTGATCCTCAGCTGCCTCATGTATTAAATGGGCCAATAACTGCTGACTCCTAAACATGCTGTGAGAATTGGAGATAACACAAGTCAAGCGTTTGACAAGTGTCACCCATCATAGCTTCTCAGCAGTGCCCGTTACTGTCCTAGAAGACCAAGGTGCTGCTTTCAAAGCTATGTCAGGTTTATTTCTATTACTTTGTAAAGCACTTGAATATAATGGCTTTGCTGCATATGTTCTCCTTTCATTCTGAAGTAATAGTGTCTTAAAAAGTCATATGAATCTTAGGAATGAGGTATATACCTGTCCATAACTTACACTTCTCTTTAGGCTTGGGATTTTCTCTTCTGACTCATTATACCTAATAAGCAAAGCCTCTGGGATGAGTTCAGGATGAAGGGTCTCCTTGATGCCTTGACAGTGATTCTATGCTGCTAATACATCAAAAGACTTAATTTTATACTTTATTTTTCCTAGACTTTGCTTATGCTTTGTTGGTGATAGCACCTATAAGATTATATTTAGTAATGTAATTGTTTGTGAAATTTGGAGCTTAGAATTACTTTTCTTCCTTTAAAAGATCAAGTAGAAATCCTTTCCCCAAAAAGGCAGTAGCTGTCATACAATTAAAATTAACCATCTTAACAGGTAAAACTCTTACTCTGCAGTGATTGAACTGCATGTGAATTCTCTTCAGTGTGACTCATGAAACCCTTGTCAAATTTGTTTTGAACAAAAAGAAAAAGCTGCTTTATAACGTTCCCAAATTCGCAATGTGAGAATGAGTTTTGCCTGGAGGAAAACAAACCAACCAGGACAAGCTGCTTGCCAGCTTCTACTTGGGAGGATACAACTTACTCAGAAAAGAGGCTTTTCTTCTTTGAAACTGAGAGTTGCTTTCCCCAGTACTATGATCCATAAGCTGTAGCCAGGTGGGTCCACACAGTTCCAGCTCCAAGGCAAGCTCCAGGTGTGTAGCCCTCTTCTTCCTGTGAAGATTCCCTACTGGCAAAACTGGGATAAATACAGTGTGGTAGGTTGACAACTGTGGTCAATGTATAGCACTCAGATGAACTGAATCAGTGTGGTGCTGGGTCTGGGAGGCCCACCTGAGGATTGTTGCCAGCAGAATAAGAGGCAGAAATGAAGAAGAAGAATTGAGGCTGTTGGGAGCTGAGAGAGGCTATTGGAAGCTGGTAGAAGCTGTTGGGTGCTGTTAGAAGCTGTGGGGAACTGTTTGTTCTCCTGGAGGAGTTTGTCGTGCTGGCATTCCTGATCAACTCAGCTGTTCTCATCATCCAAGGAGTTCAGGTTATTGTTATCACTGAGAATGGTTTCAGTTCACTTTGGGGGAGCTCTGGTCCTGAGCATCACTTCCTTGCTCCAGAGAGGAAGGTGGTGCACTGCTCAGTCTCCTGGAGAAGCTTGTTGTGTTGGCTTTCCTGCTAGGAACTTGGCTTTCCTCATCATTGGAGGAGCTCGGGACCTTACTGTTGCTGAGCATGGCTTTGGTACTCTTTGGGGGAGCTCTGGTTCTTATTTTGAGTGTCACTTCCTGGCTCCAGTGCAGATCCCTCAGCCTGCTAGCACAGATCCTTCATCCCACTGGCACAGACTTCCTAGATTCCACCACTGACCTTCAGTCCTTCCCAGCGCAGATCCATGAAACACTGCTGCATGAGACATTGTCATGGGCTCTAGGCCTCCAGATGGACTCATGGGAGGAATTGTCATGGGCTCTAGGTCTTCAGCTGAACTCATGCAGGACATTCCCATTGGACACAGGCCCACATCTGGATTCTTTGGTCTTTAGTGTATGGACAGATTTCCTGCACTCTGTATATGATTCTTTGGGTGACTATTAAGTAATCTTATAAAATATGTGTCCTGTATTGTATTGTTCCCCTTGCAAAAACCCCCAAACCACGACACATGGTGAGCAGTAAAGACTGTGCTGAAGGAGGAAAGATTTACTGGAGAATAGGCATGTGAGAAGAGAAAGAGTCATAGTGGTGCATGCAGGAAAAAGAGGGGTGATGAGCAGATCATATGCATGGAAATCATTGACATTCCTGGGTATTTTAGCACCACATAATTAACCTATATGACTAAGTCAATGCACAACTTGCAGGTCTGTATGCTTCCCTAAGACAGCACCAGGGAGCAGTCCTATTTCATAATATGCAGTAAAGATCCCATTTATTAATAAGAATATGCATTTTTTTCCGCAGGAAGAATGGCTTATTTGGCTCACAGTTTGCAGAGGTTTTGGTCCACAATTGGCTGGATCCAAAGCAAGGTGGCATGGTGGAAGAGAAGCAGCTCATAACAAGTTAGTAGAAAGCAGAGAGAGAGACAGAGAGAGAGAGAAAAAGGGCAAGGGAGGAGGGCAAGAGACCCTTCAGGGCTGCACCCCAGGTGACCTTGAGGTGACCCACCTCCTCCAACCGGGTTTTACCCACCCCCCAGTATCACATTTGCTTATAAACACCTCAGCAGACTAAGCCACATAGAAATGTCACATCCGCCTGATCCAATCACCTCTGTAAAGCCCCATCTATGAGAACATGTGGCTTGGGCAAGACAGCTAGATATAAACCATAACATTACACTCCTGGCCCCAAAAGTCTCATACATATCTCCTTCTGCAGAAGGCAGACTCCTTTAGTCCATCTCTAAGTGTTGCTGAATTTCCAACAGTTTCAGCCTTGCTGAAAGTCCAAATCCAAAGTCTCCTTTGAGATTTAAGGCCAACCTCATGAAGTTTCTTTCTTAGATAGAAAAGACAGACTCAGTGACATCTGGACATCCCCCAGAAACCAGGCTCCCATACAAGGGGCAAGAGGATGTGCTTCTTTCAGGCCCCATATTTGTGGATTTGAAATAGCGACTGCCCCTCAAGAACCTACCTCCTCTTTCTTAGCTTTCTGTTCACTGCTAACATCTTTTTTTAAAGTTTGCCAGAAAATCTTGATCTTCTCCTTCTTCTTTTCTTCTCCTCTTCTGCTTCTCCTTCTTCTTTTTACTTTTATTAGGACCTGTTTGCAGTACATGACCACATTCATGGTAGGGGATTATTACATGTGCATGACATATTTTAAATCACTTATTTTTCCTTGTCCCACCATGCCCCTTTGATTTTTCCAGCATCAAATTCATGTATTTATAAGACCTTAAAAATGATGTATGAGTATT